CCACGCTTCTCTTGATGCAGCCCAGGACACGGCTGGCCTTCTGGGCTGCGAGTGCACATTGTTGGCTCATGTCCAGCTTTTCATCCACTGGTACCCCCAAGTCCCTCTCGGCAGGGCTGCTCTCAATCCCTTCGTCCCCCAGCGTGTATTGATGCCAGGGGTTGCTCTGACCCAGATGCAGGACCTTGCACTTGGTCATGGAGATGAATCTGAAATGAGGATGAGGGGAGGTTGTGTGGTTTTTTTCTTTTTCTCTTTCATTTTTCAATAGAATTTCTGTAAGCTGTTGGCAGTTCCTCTGTAATGCTTCTTGATGTATTGAAGGACTTATGGTGACTTCTCCTTCGCTTGATTGTTCTACATTTCTGCAATTTAGATCAACTTTTAAAATCTTTTTTTATGACCGTCAGGAAGAAGGAAACTTTTAACCTAGTCTTAAAAACGTGATGCAACTGTAAGGTTCTACAACTCATTTTACGCTCTAGTCTGTTTCAGGCAAATTCTTAAGATTTTTGGGGCACTTCAATTCAGATGAGGCTAACAGTAATTACAAGACTGAAGAAAATATCATGAAATATATTTTCACAGAAGTCAGATTCTTGATAACTTAAGAAAAACCAAGGTGTTTTTTCCTAGTCCCTCAAACAGTATCTTCTTAAATTGTGGATCGGGGCTCAGATGCAGACTGGACAGATTAATGAGGAAAGAAGACCGTCAATGTCTATTAAACACAACAGTGGTGATGTACCTTGCTCAGAAGTTCAAAAACCACTGCTTAGTGGATGCTGGGAACGTGTGCTAGCAGAGTACTATGCTGTGCGTGCCCTGTTTTCTTTGAAAAACCTTTGCCTTACTGTAGTTGGCAACACAGTATGAGGCTAGATAGATCTTTACCAGCTATAACCATTTTTTTAATGTCGTGTCACATGCAGCTGTCACTGCACTTGAGTCCTTTTTTGGCATGCAGTGATGATGCCCATGATGCCACTTTGAAATTTCAGAAGTTTCTGAGAAAAAAAGAGCTCTAGGCACCTCTGGTTGTTTTCGCTCTTCCCCGCCTAAGATGAATTGTACCTTGGGAGTATCTGTTTCTTTCAGCTGCCTGTGAGGAGGGAGCAGGTTAACTGTACTATATGTGGCTTAGGAAGACAAATTTTGACCAAGTGGATATTTTCAGTTTTAAAAAACTATGGGTTCAGCATTCAGCCCTGCATCGCTTTATTATGGGAGATGGGTTAGTGAAGGAGCTGCTATTTATATGAATATCTGTTTTTAATGTTAATGTATTTGAGCTGATACTACTTCTAGTTCAGTAAGGAGAAATAAAGCTTTTATGTAGACCTATAATAGGGAATACTTCCAGATACTTTACTGAAAGGATTCTTAGTGGTCTGTGCATTTGCAGAAAGCTTCTTTATATTCCAAAAAGTTCTGCAGTGTGACTTCTGCTATTCTGTATAAATCCAGAATATGATTCTCACTTGTGATTTCTCTTGGCCAGGTGTTTTGTGTACTATGACAATATGTTCTTATTAATTCTATTGTGATAAGAGTTCTGGTGAACACAATATTTTTTTATTTTGCTTTGTCTTGCAGGCACCAAGTATAGATGAAAAAGTAGATCTTCACTTTATTGCATTAGTTAACGTAGGTGGTCATCTCTATGAATTGGGTAAGAACACTTTCTATCTCTCTCTCCATTTGTTTGAAGCAAATATAAGCAGTAATGTTGTGAACTATCAAAGTTTGAGAGGAATTACTTTATGTAATGTAGACTTAGGTTCTTTTCAGCTGCATCATAGGGTCTGAGAGGTGGGGGATTCTGTCAAACAATCGCAGCCTTCTTCCCGTTGCTGTTTTGGATTCTCCTTCCCTCCACTCCCTCCTGTTACACTAAAATGGTACAGAATACTAGACTGCCTGTAAGCTTCCGAAATGATTTACAAGGACAGGAAGCAAGAAAGAATTGATGAACGTTCAGAGAGGAAAGTACTGTTATATTTATGTCCCTGGATTGCTTGTGGAATTAATAAATGAACTGTATGCCACTTAAGTTATGTTATTAAATACTGTGATACAGTTTAAACTGAAATTATGTAGTCAGAATACTAGCATATACTAATATTCTGCAGCTCATTTGTTATAGGCTAGTTATTTTTTCTTCTACTTTTCTGTTACTAGACAGTTAACTGTAAAACAGTAGTCTCTGTTTTTTGAATTACAAATATTTTTTTCCTCTCTTCAGATTGTGTAGCACCAAGTTCTGCTCAGATATTCCCTAATGACTCCAATCTTAAACATGTTGCTGAGCAACTAGGTTTTGCTGCAGGCACTTCAGAAAACTAGCAAGTAGATGAGGATTTAAAAACTGCAAGTCAGTGGTCTTTCCTAACATAGTTTTTTCAGTATTTTATGGTGAGAACTTTTTCATCTTTTGAAAATCAACATGTAATTAAGCAATGCCCTTACCAGGTGACAACTAATCATAACCTGGGGCATAAGGGGTATGTAAGAAGTGCTTATGTTAATATTAAGGTGATCTAAGGGGTATTATCAGTGGTACATCATGAACAATAGGCAAGCATTTCTACATTTTTATGATGCCGTATGTCTTGTCAGTGAACTAGATCAAACAGTAAGGCAACTACTGCAATATAAAAATTTTATGACTCTAAATTTCAAGGCATGATGGATGGCTCACTCTTCTCGTACTTGTGTGCTATTTCCATGTTACCTTTTCATTGTGCATTAATTTGCTTTGCTTAAAAAGCACACTATAGACTACCATTACCATGTTTAGCTGTTTTCCATAAGAATTATGCAAGATAAAACCCACTTGAATTTTTTGCTTAAATTAAAAAAAATAAAAAGGCATTTAGCTCAACTGTATAGTGGAATGCCAATGCTATTATTTCCTTTGTTCTTAAAATAACTTCTCTCTGTACCAGTGGAAAAAAGCAAAAAAAAATACTTAAAAGCAGGAGAATGGGAGAAGGTTTTTCAATTAATTTACTGGCTTCAGTCACTGTGGCCAGCATGTGGGCTTTGGCAGGCAGAAAATGCTAATGAAGCACATGTTAAGTGCTTATGATGTTTTTGCCATAGAAAACATGTTATTTATAGGTATATGAAATTAAAATACTGTTCTGCCAAGGTGTATGTTAAAAAAAAAAATTCCAATCAAACTTAGCTTGTAACAGTACAGTTGCAAGTACAGAACAACATCAGTTGTGTCTCGCTGGCATGTTCTGAGGGTTTTGCGTTGTTGTATTTTCAGTCATGGTGTTCATTATTGTAGCAACTCTCTCGTTCATGTAAATCCAAAAGTTTTGTAACATTGAATGTATTTTTAGTTATGGAAAATGTAATTTGGAAGTACTGTCAAATTCGATGGAATCTTTGGGGAGGGAAAAGTCTTTAAAGGGAGTACAGAGCCGAAAGGGAATTTGGTCTAGCAAGTACTTAGGATATCCTGACATATGTTCTCATACTGTTAGCTCTTCACAAGTAACCTGAAACATATTTCTACAGATAAAATTATTTTTTAAATGCTGAGAATGATTGCATTATTGTATTGCAAATTGAAGAATAAATAATTAACTCTAGCAACCATTTTTAAATGCAGTGAAAATACTTAAAGTTATTGGGTTTGTGTGCCTATTTATTTTAAATGAGAGTAACATTTCAGTTATGCCAGACTCTTCAAACTGGTGGGTTTGGAATTCTCTTCTGTTGTGGAGTCCCTGATCACAGCTGTCAAAGACCACACATGTACAGCTGTCTGTCTGGGTAAATCTATTAAGCGTAGCTGAAATTGTTCTTCTCTACTTGAAAACCTGAAGTACTATACCAGCACTAAAACAATAGCAACATATAGCCTTAAAGTTTACTAATAAAATACTAAAAAGTATTTCACTGGTTTGGTTGGATTTTTTTTTTTTATGCAACAGGCTGTTCATAACGATACCTGTTGAAACAGTCAAAAGTGGAGGAGAAACCTGGGAATAGCTAGCTGCATGTGCAATTCTTTTATGAGAAATGAGATAGCTTTTTTGCAAGTGAAGAGCAAAAAATCTGTTCAAATAATTTCAACTGGAAAAGTGAAGCTTTTCTGGTTCTATTAATGTGTTGTTCAATCCTGCTTTGTGTTTCAACAGATGGGCGCAAGCCGTTTCCAATAAACCATGGGGAAACTAGTGACGATTCTTTTTTAGAGGTAGGAATAGAAAACCTTCTTAAATGGTGTTATACAAAAGTCTTGCTATATTTATGGTTGGATGAGGAATAGAGCGAGTGGGATGGTGAGACAAAATTAGGTTTACTCAGTTTTAAAACAGGTTATTCAGAATGCTCGTGTTGTGACTCTGGTTGACAGAGCATTGTAACGTGATAACAAGAAATGTCAGAAGGGTTTACCAGAACAGAAGATCAGACTGACTTTCCTTCTGTGCTGAGATTTTCATATACCCCTGCTCCTTTCAAACTGTACATGAGATTAAGTCATAGATTGAACATTTAGAATAATTTTTCATTCTCTTTCTTTTGGTTTAGTTCTAGTTTGATAGGTGCCATGCTACACAGAAACTGATTTCCTTTCTGACACTTGCTAGTAATCATTCTTCTCCAGTTTCGTGGCTTCTCTTGGGTGCTTCTTTGTGTCAGGAGCTGTTTAGTTGAGAAATTAATTGGAAAGGAATGCACTGAATTGGGAGGGTAAACTGGCATCCCCACAGAGTGATGTGAAGTTGAAGCTGAGAGAAGGCAATGCATAAATCTGACTTATGGTATGCAGAGTGGATTAGCTTTACAAAAGGAGGAAACGAGAGAAACGAAAAAGCAAACAAACAAAACCTTTTATAGTTTAGTAGCATGGACTAATGTCTGTAAAGTTTGCATACAATTTGTGCTTGTCTGGTCAGGAGGAGAAGTTGGATAAAGCTTTTCTTCTCTTATATGTGGCTTTTTTCTGTTTTACTGATAACATGTGTTCTCCAGATTGCACCCTAAAGCTAGAAGAAGGAATGAATTACAATCTTTCACTTACCCCACACAGCTTAGATTCATCTTGAGACAGAGCAAAAATTTCTGAATACAGCAGCACTACCAAAAGAAAACATCAGAGATGCATTTAGAAAATCAGGCAAGCAACACATCTGTTGCACAAAGGAAGATTCAGTCACAAAAATCATTTGCTAAGGTTCTGCATACAATTTTTTCTCTCTTATGCTGCCCAGATGAGCACTGTAAATAATCTTGAATAGTGGTAACTCAGATCAGAAGTGCAGTTTATGTAGATTTGTCACACTATTTAGTAATCCATTATGGAAAAATCCATTTTGAGCGTAGTTTGTATAAAGCATATCTTCATATTTTAGTTGTGGAGGTTTTTTTAATAAGTGTGATTTATAGTGGCTTTTGTTTTGTTCTGTTTTTTTTCCTTTTTTCCCTAGGATGCAATAGAAGTTTGCAAGAAATTCATGGAACGTGACCCAGAAGAATTAAGATTTAATGCAATTGCACTGTCTGCAGCTTAAAAGCCTTTTCCAGTGAGGCTAATCTATTGCGATGTATTGTAACAATAAAACTGTTGCCATATGTTAATAATACAAATTTTGATACTTCCCTAACATATTGACTAATTGTAGCACACGTGGAATAAACTTTGCATTTGTCCTTGCTATATCTTGCTGCTTGTTCCTAAAGCAACTATGGGTATTTATATACACGCATGCATTTTGTGCAAGACTTCTGTGTGGTGGGTTTTTCCCCTTCCACCCCCTTACTATCTGTGATATTTCATCATGATAATGACAAATTCGTTCAGAGAAGGATTATCAATTTGTATCATTCACAGATAACATTTTGAGTGGAGTATGTGGTATGTTAATGGTAAAAACTTGAAATACGAGGTTATTCGCATCTTTTAATTATAATGATACAAGAATATTATAAGAACTTTTCCAGGTGACTCAAAAGACAAAGGCATTTTTGCAGTGAATTATTTATAAATAAATATATGGAAGAAAAAAAGACAGAAAAAGGACTGTGTCGTCTTATTGTTGGTGAGCGCTAACACTTTAAAATTGTCTTAATGTTTACATTTTGAATAAAACTTAATATTTTGTTTCTCATGCCTAATATTGTTAGTAAATTATCAAAAAGCCTTAGTTAAACCAATGTTTGCTATTTGTCAGTGTGGAAAAAGAACATGGATTTTTGCCCCAGAAAAACCACACTAGGTAATTCATGCTGGTTCGAATGGTGGGACTGCAGAGGGAACACACAGGTAAATACAGCAATGGGAAGTACCTCACCTAACCAAAATAAATGATGGAGAAGTAATGATTGGTGTAATGAAGTTTTGTATTAACAAGAACAGACTGTAGATTTTAAGATAGACATGATGGTCATATACTTTTTTTTTTTCCCTTTAGGAGTATCTGTTGTAAGTTTGTCAGGTAGCATTACTGAATGCTACGCGATACCCTACCCCTGTGCCATCCCTCCCACCCCACACACTGGATCTTAAGGTACTGTTGACCACTTTCTACACTTAAATTAGCAACAGCTTGGTTGGTTTGGGCTCTGTGTTTTTTGGGTGGGTGGTTTTCTGTTTTTTTTTATAGGCTAAGCAATCTTACGCTTCGGGATTCTTGTGAAGGTTGGTTTTGGTTAGTGTGCGTGTTTTTGGCATTCCAGAAAAATATTCCTTATTTGTTGCTTTGAAGCGAACTAATTCAGGTTTGCTTCCAATCAAGATCGCTGTCAAAGGAAACTGAACCCTCTGTGTCCCAGAGGGTGTTTTCATTCTCTACCAATTGTCATTGCAGGAAAAATGCATGGGGTTATGAAAGAAGCAATCTGGCAGAGTTTTCCTGCTTTACAGAGAAGAAAGAGGCCTAGGAGTCTGTCTTATCGCTTAAGAACATCTTTTACTCTCTAAAGAAAAAGTCGGTGTGTCTGTCTAAAACATGTCACCTGGAGAGTCCACTAACAACAAGAGTCTGTTTTCTGTAAGTGAGCTCGTTGGAAAAGTGAGGGGGGAGAAGAACACTAATGAGCTTCTATTTCTGAGCACTTTTTCACCCCAATAAAGTGCAGTATCGTTAAGACTTGCTTTATGTTACCATGCTCATTAGTAAAGCCCTGAAACTTGCTTTTAAATAAAAATCAAAGGCTTTAGTAACTACAGCAGCTGCATTGTCTTCCTGCTAATATCAGAAAAATCAAATAAAAGTTGTCACAATTTAATTGGGATGTTGAATATTGTATGCTAAAGGTGATTTGGAGGATTACATTTAACGTAAGCCGTAGTTAACAATGATAAGGTGCTTTTAGGGTAGGGAGGAGGGTGAGGAAAGAGAGGAAGTGCAATTTAAAGCTGTTAAACTGGCTACATCAGTTGCCTGCTTTAGGGAAACACTCGCACCATATATGCGGCTCTTCAGCATTCAGCAGATTGTGGTGGTGTCCTGGTTTTAGGTCATAAATGGAGGGGCTCTGTTTTCGTGCAATTATTTCTTGCAAAGTCACTTCAGAACTGGAGCTTTAATTGAGTCTGAGGACTGATTAAGTGAATTCACGACAAAGGAAATCAAGGTTAGAGTAGTAAACTCAGGATGGGATTTTTCATGGTCACATTGGAAAGATACTTGAATCTTAAGTAAAAACTTACTGATAAGAATTCTTACGATTTTGGCAATATGATGGTTTTGCTCGGCGTTTTTTACATAGTCTTCAAATGAGTTGTCCTGCAGGGTAAGGTTATCCTTCTATTTTGTTTTGCCTTCAGTGTTCAATTCCGTTTTATGAATATGTAAGATGGTCCTTCTTAGTGAACATTGCTTTTGGAAAGGTCCTCAAAAGTTTGAGATGATGAAGGAAGGGCAGTGCAGTCTTTACGCTGAACTGTAGCTGCTCATTGCGTGGTCCCTTGCTAGACTGAAATTTTGAAAGACCACGCTGCAGAAATACTCTCTCGCCTGATACCATACGGTGTAACGGCCTTCCAGTGCTTGTAAGAGCATGCTTTGGCACAGGGATCAGCGACCATCTTGAGGAGCTCAGGAAGTAAAGGGATCTACAAGAAGCTGGAACATCTTTGGCATTGGCAGAACCTGTATGACTTGGATGCCCGGAGTGAGGTATGACAGAACGCTTGGCTGACTTGCGTAGTCCAGCAAGGTCCTGACCAGGGGCCGGTAACCAAAGCAGAAAACCACGGCGCTTGTGGCTCTGCGATGCCCATGCAGACCTTGCCGTACCTGTACAATCTGTGCTTATTCGCTCAAGCTCCGTCAGAAAATAACGCTGCGTTTCCAGGCTTGCGCAGCCCTGCCGGAGCCTTGCCACCTCTGTGCGGAGCACGGTCTGGCCGGAGGCACGCCGCGCTGCTGGCTGCCGGGAGATCCCTCTTCAGCTCCGGCGGCCTGGGCCGGCCGTACACGTCATCTCACGGAGACGGGGCGTGGGGGAGTGGAGCGATGATGCACGCTCAGCGCTTAGGTCAATTTTAGCTGAGTGGAGCTGGCGTGCTATTAAGCACCTGGGGTTGTTCAAGCTCTTTTAAGTAGATTGGTGTAAGTTTTCCCATGCTATTACAAGCATTTTGTTGAGAAACCGTAAGAATTTAATAACCAGTACAGTGCCCTTTCAATTGCGGCTGCATGATTCAGTTAAGGAAAGGAGGAGAAAAAAGACAGTGCTTGCTGTCATTGAAATGTAAGTTGTAGAAAATAAACACACTTAACATCCCACACTTAGGAAACAAATATGGTCTTTCCTTAAGGGAAGAAGCCTGCCTTGGTAGAAAATATTATTGTATCAAATATTTGTAGAACTCTCCATGAAAAAAAAAAAATGACATAAATTGTTGCTTGACTTATCCCTAGGAGCACACACATTGAAAGGGTTTATTTTTGCCAGGTAGAACAATATTATGTTTGCTACTTTTGACACCAACAATTAGCAGTCATATCTGGTATATTTAATCTTTTTCTGATCTACGAGTCTAGTGACTTACCTTGTTCGTGCTAAGAAATATTGAACTATTTTGGTTGTTTGGGCTTTTGTAGATAGATTATCTGTGACAGTTGTTTTAAAATTCACTTTGAGGAATAAATTTCCCTGTTGCAACTTTTTTTACTTAGTGAATAACTTAGACTTGAAAGCTGCTGTGGTCCGTACAGCTTAATAAAATGAGGACTTAATCAAATTACTTGGTTACTCAAATTACTGGAATTATTTGATCTAAAACATTAAACACATGATTCATAAGAAGTGATTTCATTTGCCGCTAAGTGAAATAAAACAACCAGAAATAAGTAAGAATTTGGAAGCTGTTTTTTAAATATGACCTGTTTAATAGAATTTTATTCTCAAAGAAATTTAAACTTCTATAGTATTCATAGTGACTTTCTCTTACTTAGGGACAAGGGTTGTATTTTTAAATGAGGTGAAAAGGCAGACCTTAAAAATCTGGGAACGGCCGCAGTAGTTCTCCAGAAAAATGTTTCGTAATGACAGCTACCGCAAACTGGTGTCAGCCAGCGGCAGCACCTGCATGCTTCATTTAGACTTTTTTTTCAGTCTTTGTAGCCACGAGTGTTAAATAGCGAGAGGAGACGGTTGTTTTCTGATGCTCCGGCGTCCCACTCGAGAAAAACGCAGATTCTTCCTTTGTATTTGGGCTTGGAGTAGGGGGAAGATTTCAAAATTACAGCTTTGGTTATCGTTTCTTTCGTGGCTGGCTCTGTAGCATCGACGTGTCGGGCTGTACCACGGTGAGAAGCTTCACATCGCACCACAGCATGTCAGCGTGTTTGTAGCTGTAATAAACGTTAATCCCCTCCTCTGGAACTGATTTCGGCCGGAGTCGCTGGGTTTTGCTGCCTGCGTGTACCACCCTAGAAAAATACCACCCTAAATACAGCGTTGAAAGGAAATCGGGTACTTTTATAGAAAAAGAAAAAATCTGTACCGTGCATGAGTATTGTAGAAAAGGGTTCTTTATCCTGATCCTTCGTTAACTTTTCTGCTCCGGAGGGGTTTTGCTGTGCCCAGTCTGCACCCCGGCTCTCCCCCGGC